AGTTTTAAATGTGGGAAGTTTCTGTGATTGATCTAACTTGACCTAATCATAATCAATGGAATTAAACAATTTTCTGTTAAATAACATGTTTCTGCTTGGGTTTTTTTTCCATCAGGATTGGGATTTTGATATTTGTACATGATTACATAAACAGGAGTGAAAGAATCGGGTTTCAAAAGTGTTTTAACTGTGGGGATTAATAGTTGTAGAAAACATACAGTTTATTTGTCAGTTGTTTTATATAAAGATTACCCCTATAATCAATATTTGGCTATACCTCTATAATCAACTTATCGGTTTTTCTCATTGTTGAAGGCCGTACGAATGCCTATCATTGCTTACATCCACTTCATTTGAGTATTGGTGGATGGTTGTCTCATTGGTAATCATACCATATCTCCTTATTTTGTATATGGTTAAGACGGTCTTTTAGGAATCTATGTTTTCCTGAATGACATTTTTTAAAGATTGTTTTTGCATTTTATAGACCCCTTCAACTTCTTAACAGAATATTCCTTATTTTTCAAATTTTGTAGAAAACTTTTCTTGACTTTGAAATTGTTCACAAACTAATTTTTTCTTGGTTCTTTTAACAGCTTCAGTATGTTACAACACTGTGGATTTGTATCCTTTACATTACAGGTAGGTTTATACAAATATTTTCAAACATACAATAAGTTTCAAAATCTAAACAAAATCTTGTAGCTTTGATGTCGTAGGGTTGACAAGAGACATATACCAATCTGATATTATATGACTTATAGCCACCTGATAAATCACAGTTTGACCAGAGTAATCAGAACGACCTTTTTACAAAGTATGATATATTCCTCTCTAAATCAAGATATTTGTATCTAAGTTGGTCATTATTTTACATAAAACAAAGTTTGACTAAACCTGTCTTTCAGATTACAATACTTATGTAGAGGACAGAGATGTCAAATATTTATACTATTGTAATAGGAAAAAGACATAGATTATATTTCAACAGATCTTTGGGTTTTTAAGTATCCATATCTGATTCACACCACCCTAGAGTAGGTAATTACAATTACTCCGAAGCCCAGCTTTAACTGCTGATAAAAGTGATGTTAAAAATTGGAAAGAGGTGTAGTACTTTGCAGATCCAGCATTATTACGTTATTTGAAAGGACATTTATGTAATGTTGGTATCCAGTATAGTGAAAGAAGATCAGGTTTTTATCTATTGTTGTGATTCCAGTGGAACATAGAAAAAACCCATGTTTGTTCAAGAATGCTTCTTTTGTAAGTGTCGTAGGATTTTATGCTGAGTTCCCAAGCGAATTGTCTATGATAAATGTCTTTCGATGGTTTAGAAATATCATTGATAAATAATTATTATGTATTAACGAAGCAACATTAACAATAAATCTATTATAAAAGATTATAGCATCAAATATCTTACATTGATTATATTGTGAAATTGAGACAAAAAAACTTCCATGAAATCTTTTACAATGAAGTAATAAGAATATGTTAAAAACGATTGAAGTTTGTATTTTGCATTTTCAGATTTTAAACTTAGAAATGAGATATAAATTTTTAATTCTTTTGAAGGTTTCAATGTTGAAGAGTCAAAAGCAAACAAAGGTATGTATAAAGATGAAAACAATTAAGATCCTCTCCTCGACTGTTGCTTATTAATATTGCATAGTTCTGTCTAGTTTATGCTCTAAATAGCAAATGGAGAATCAATTTGCAAGTCCTACATGACAGAAAAACTGCAAATAAAATAAAAAATCTAATTAAGAGATAACTGTATTGTATTTGAAGCTTTGCGGACGTCCATCGGTAGTATTATTGTCGCAAATTGAGTTTACCTGGCGACGCTACGCGTCGCCAGGTAAACGGATATTTGCAACAGTAAAACTACCGATGGTCGTCCACAAAACTTCAAATACAATACAATCATCTCTATTCTAATGCAAAATAAACAAATCATTCAATTTTAGTCAATATTTCATTGTAAAATTTTCAATAAACGAAAATTCCGCGAAATGATGTTATCTTCTTTGGCGCCTAAACTAGGTGACGTCATATGTATGCTTCCGGCGTCAAACGTAAACACCGGGCGTTTTCTGGCTTCTTGTCCGCCTCAAAATGTAATAAAATTTCTAGGTGCAAAAGTGTTTTGCGTATTATTGGAGAATTTACATGTCAATACATTCCAGAATTCTAAATGTCGGCTTCCTTAGTTACAGACAGGGAGTTAGATAATTTTACGCTTATTGTCATCCCATGAAAACCATTGATACAAAATAATTACATTAGAATTAAATTTATGCAGTCAAAACATTCCGTGATCAATAACTCATACCGTGATTTACAAATCTACACGTTCAAGTTTAATTAAGGCGTAGTTTACCGATGTCCAAATCTCGTAAATCGATTAGGAAGAGGCAAATCAATGTAACAAACAAAAAATGAGTGAATCGCATGAACTTCGAAATGAAAGAGACCGGGAGAGTCGAGAGCGTAATAATCTCCGTCTATGCATGCATCACCCGCCATGTAAATTCACACTCAGTCAAAGTGTCATAATCGGGAGTAAGACACAATCGGTTAGTTTACAGATCGGACGACTTCACTGGTAACCAAAGATCTGACCGCGAAACCATGTCGCTAGTGAGTTGATACACCGACACGTCGTATTCGTCAATTAATTCGTAATTCTGACCGTTAAACTTATTTAGTGTCGATTTCAGTTGTTCTTCCTCATTACTCTGTTGGATTAGTTTTGTGTAAGGAGCACACCCCTGTTAATTAAATCCGTATAGAGTGAACATGCACGAGAATAACGTATTAAGTGAGATATGTAAACGCCATAGATTGAGCAGACTGCTGAGAAATTTGAAAAGTAAATCAGTTTAGGGTACTCTAACTTGTATTTTAAAGTTAATAATATTTGAATAAGGTTTACGTTATTTTTTTTAAAAATCAGACACTATTCCTGCAATCATAAACTGTATCGTAAGGATGCATCTTGTGAAGTGTAGGAGCAGGTTTATAAACCAAAATTATAAATTTCTCCAACAACTATTATTGAAAATTGTATTATTTTTATACTAAATTTGATGCAAAATATTTTCAATGTTGATGCTTAATGCCAACAGTTTATAGGGAAAACATACGCATAAATCGTTAGACACATTTAGACCAAAAACGCCACAGCAGACGAGAAAAATAATCATAAGTTTTGAACATAACGCTGAAATGTTAGTAATCTTATACCATATTTAAAATGCTCCAGGTTGTTCTACTGATGTTATAGGAATGTGTCATATGCAAAATACTAATCACGCAATTAAAATGTTTATTCGAAATAAATATTTGGACTGACTAGCTCCTCATTCTGTTTTTTGGATTTTCAAATGTTTTGAGCTCGAGCATTACTGAAGAGAGATTTATTGTCGAAATGCGCATCTGTTGCAGAAAAATTGGTGCCGTTAATGATATTGATATTTACTTAAAGCAATATATGTGGGCTGATTCAATGATGATACCGATCGAATGTATGATTTTCCAAATGTACCTTATAACGATGGATGGACGGACGGTTCTATGACTATAAAGAAGTGTACGGAGTACTGTAAAAACCAGAAATACATCTATAGTGGTCTGCAGGTACGGATTGTTTATGAGTTTATTGATAAATTGTTTTGATTTTTTTAGATCTCTCGTTTGTAAAGTTATATGTTATATGTTACTAGTATATCGAAATTCAATTCAAGCAAAATCACCCGTTTTGTAAACGAAAAGATAGCTGGGATTTCCCTGCGTATATGTTGTATCGTTACGTCCTTACATTGGTTTTCAATTTATATTTTTATGTCCATTTTTACGTCCAATCTATATCGTTATGATGCTTGTGTAGTTTACTCCCGCAAGGTTTTATTAATAACAGTTGGGCATAATGAACATTCTATTGTCGCTCACACGAGTACCAAGATTGTGATTTATCTTAGGTTTTTTTTGTGTAGTGGGTCATGCATTAGCAAATTGATTTCCGAACGTTTGCCATAGTTTAAAAACAAACAACAATTTGAACAAATTCTTTTTAGTCAAAAGGTCTACGTTGAAATTATTGTTGAACAGAACGCAGGTAAAGCACAGTATTTAGAATTTTTACGATATAGTTATGAGATTGATATGGTTCAATAAAGTGTCAGAAAGTTGTTATGGTTTAGGTACAAATTGTAACTTTCTCGTTTCATGTTAATATAAATAATTTGTTTAACGGCGTCCATAAAGAAACATAATTTCAGGAAATTAACCAATTGACAAATCAGGCAAGTAGCTTGTTTACTAATTTGTTGAGCAAAATTGGAAAACAAACTTAGGCTTATACTTTTTCTACGTCAGACGCGCGTTTCGTCTACAAAAGACTCATCAGTGACGCTCGAATCAAAAAAAGTAAAAAGGCCAAATAAAGTCCAAAGTTGAAAAGTATTGAGGACGCAACATTCGGAATGAATTTTTCAAACACACGTAAGATAATCTTTTTATGGGGTAGAAAATGCTTAGTATTTCGAACAATTAAAAGTTTTTGAACAATTAATTTTTAAATACGACTTTATCAATGATATTTTCAGTCAACGCAGAAGTGCTGACTACCAAATACGAAACATTGGTTTTGTCATTGGATTTCTTTCTCGTATTGATTTAAATCTCGAATTAACATTTATCTATTTTACTTTTATGAGTAAAAAAACTATCGATAATATAACCATTCTCTGCTAAGCTCTTTTGCCCCCAGGAATAGATAACTTTAGCTGTATTTGGCAAAACCTTCCGTAATTTTGGATCCTCAGTCCTCTTAAACTTCGTACTTTAATTAGCCTCTCTGTAACTGTTTTGATTCGAGCGTCACTCATTAGTCTTTTGTAGACAATCTATTGATGAGTTTATTTATACAGGTATCCAGTGAAACTTATTACAGTAATTTTGGAAGTTTTTTCCACCAAGAAACATTTCTCCATATGGCGAGTATAAACTCTGCCGTCAGTGAAGAGTCATTGTTTCAATGGAACCGTGAGTCAAATGTTGAAAGGCTGGCGATATTCGTGAATATTAGTCTTACATTTAGACACCGAAATGGTTCATTGACAGGTGTAAGGGTTTTTAAATTTGCAAAATCAACAAGCTATATACAAGTGGAAAGATTTGCCGTACCCGAATATTATTTATATCTACAATTAATTATGGTCTATAATAAGATAACACCAACCAATGTACGACAGACGAAATTCTCCAAGACAATAATCATTTATTTGTTTTACTTCTCCAAGATATCAGACATGTTTTACCCTTTCGTTGCTTCATACATATATTTGAACAGTTTTATGACGTTTGCTCATTTTCCTTTCATACTTTACCTTCATTAATAAAACTAAAAGAATCAAACATCGAACAATGACGAACAAGAACTAAACCATGAAATCAATTGAATATAATTATCATTTTCATTTATCTTAAAGGACAAGGTATGTTAATGTCACCTTGTTTACCCCTGAGTTAGACAAAGTTACCAAGTCCAGGTCCAAGTTGAAAAAAAGTTATCCAAAATCCAAAGTTCGTATTATTCACAGATACATGTTTGTTAAACAGGAATATTGCTGTTATTCAAAACTCAAAAGTTTTTAAATGTTAAGCTTATAACCTTTACTTAATAAATTCAAATTTGTCAGAAACCTGTAATCATGTGGTTCTGAGTCAGGAGCCTGTAATTCAGTGGCTGTCGTTAGCCGCTGTCTGTCATATGTGTGTGTGTTTATTGTTTAACGTAACCAAGCCGTTGGTCGGTAGCGTGTTTGCATTACTATATCGTATGGATATTGCTAACTGTTGAACTGGTGACATATATAGTTACTAACATACACTACAGTTGGTCTCTGGTGAAAAGATGTTTCAAAGGCAATTATATCACATCTATATTGTAAAGTTTTCGCTCTGTGTTGCTATAGCGTTTTCGTTACCCTGAAGTGAAAATATGACTCACTGGCAAAAACTATACTACTCGTCAGACAAACTTATAACCCGCAATTACTCTTTCCAATGACTGCTCCCTTGAGTCAACTCAACCCCGTACTCCAAGTGATATGATTAAAGATGCGTTGTTTCAGTAGACAAAAATAATCAATTCGTATAAAGTTAATGATTTAATGAAATATCATGATCTATTATAGATATGTAATTTAGACAATTTCAATATTAAGTCAATCTATATCTTTTTACATGAGATCAACATACAATGAATAACATTTTAAATAGTATGCAAGCTAGTGAGTAACTCTGGTCAAGTACTATATACACATGTATTTAAATAAACTATCTTAATCACAAGTAATTATAGAAATCTCTATAAATATATAAGCTATGTCGACTTTTCAAATGTATAAGTTGCGACTCCTGATTTTACTGTACTTTTGTGAAGATTCAACTTCGTAATATGTGTAAAGAATCGTTGGAAATTAATAATAATAATTTCTATACTTTAGTTGTATTTCAAGTGAATAATATAAAAATCACTTTTATTTAACTGTAACTTTCTTTGAAGAAAAAAACTATGTTGATGTCTTATTTGAATAGCGACTTCAAGACTCGAGTCTGCGTCGTTGAGTCTCTGTATAAAATATGAAATATGTTATCTTTCCGACTTTTTGTGTACTTTTCAGTATATAATTTGTACGTCTACTCTTTAGAGTCTCTTATAATATGAAACTTATAAATCTATGTTTTACATAAAGTATAACTCTGAGAAAATATTTCCTAACCTTTTAAAGTCCAAGCTTAAATTGTTAGCTACAGTGACGAAAGGATTTTAATATTTAGGCTTGTGATTGTAAGCAACCTTTTGCCACGGTAGTCCGATCACGACTAACGCTTTCAATAGCAGTCCAATATATATACAATGAAAAAGACTCGAAAGACTTCATTTTGACGTCAAAAGCGACTCAAAAGACTCTATTTCGACGTAATATCGCCGTTCACGACAGTGCACTTAGACTGGTTTATGGTAAGCGACTCACGTAAACATGGCGGACATTACACAGAAAAACAGAGACTCTGAGTCTCTAGAAACTTGACCAGGTTAACTAATCCACTGAATATAATTATATATAGAGATTAAAACAATATAATACAATCATCAACAAATATATAAAGGTAGGTCAAGAATAAGGAAATCCCGTATTTACACTATACAAAAATAAATGGAAAAGCGACTCAGTTTCAGATAGTGCAAAAATTTGTGTACTCTTCCAAAAACATCGTTTTCATACAAAAGTTTTTCTGTTATTTCCCCATGAGATTTCAGAACAACTTAATAAAATGGCTACAAATACAAACCAAAGCGTACCCCAAAAAATTGACAGTAGAACTACATTTTCTAGAATTTAAAATTGATTAATTTGAACTGTGTTTAAGCTGATGTCTAATTGGACAGATGCAAAACTATATCTTAAAATAAACTGTTAATTTAGTGTTGTTTTATATATATCTGTTAATAAGTTATCATTGTATACATAGACATCATTGTATATCATTGAAATCTACAAAAGCTCAAAACTTAAATAATTTTAGATCAATCTTGGACAATACATTTCCTGCAAGGAATAAGGTACTTTACAACTGTTGAAACATGTAATGGAGCAGGATTATGTTCCACTGCGACATCAAACGGGGTCATCATTGATAACTCTCTTCCTGTCCCTGGTTTAGTTATTGTCGGGTCGCCGGAAAAACATTCAAGATACATATCCGATAAGTGAGTAAAATATGATTCATTTATATTTCTTTAAGTTAAATGCAAACAAAATTTATTGATATCGTTGATTCTTATAGTTCGTTTTGAACTCACAATTTTGGTCCTAAAAATCTGAATTGTTTTAACTGCAATAATGTTGTGAAGATTTAATCAAAACATATGTTAAAATGTCCAATTCTTTCAGTAAAAAACAATTGCGTCATTTGTGATGTATTTGTGACGTCATAAATGTAGGCGAATTTCGTTAAAACCTGATTTATTTGCCAAATTTGGCAAAACTGTTTTTTTTAATAAACAGTGGTGCCAACTTTCGCCTTCATAAATTTTTGCTGAAATATTCTTTATATACCTTATTTTTACTCTTCAACAAACATGGGTAGCGCCACATATGAAATCATGAAAAAAGGTCGAAATAGATGATAAGTTTCTGGAAAAATGGACTAAATGAAATATATTTCTATTTTATGCTAATATATTTTTTAATATAAAGAAGATATATTATTTTTCTTATCGTACTTTCCAAAACAAATAATACATTTAGCAATGCATACGCATTAAATTTACTCAAACAATTGAAGTTTAAAAATGCACTTTTACAGGGCAATTTATTGGGGTTTAGTGGTTTTACATTTCCCACCAAGTTCCATATTAGAAAAAATCGTCAAACAACCATTATATTTATAATTTAATAAATCAGACGCATGTTTTGTCTACATAAGTCTCATTAGTGACGCCCGAAAACCAAATCTGTTACAAATTTGAAGAGCATCAATTACTAAAATTCAAAAACACGTACAGTCGCGTATATATGTAAATCCTTTATTTTACCATGCTTTTACAGACACATGATACTTTGTTTTGAGCATATTTACCCAAAAAAGATACGTTATATATATAAATATATATATTATGTTCGGGTTTTACATTTGTATTACATTCAGGAATTGTTTTAATTAGCATAGATTAAGACGCCATTTTACATTGGACTGTTCATACTCATGGATGATATTTGTTATCCGAAATATTTATTGATATTTATATTCATTAACTTTTTTTTTTAAATTTTGGTGTTGTACACTTTTAAGAGGTATATATATATAAAAATTGAATAAATACGTCATAAGGTTCTTAAATTGTATTATTACAGACACACAATACATTCATCTTGGATTGGGTTTCAAGATCCACATTCCAGTATAGACCATTTTAATGTGTGTATTGGTACTTCTACTGAAACTTGTGACATTTTAAAACCATTAAATGTACAGCTTACTGCCTCGTTTACCAAAACAACGCTTAACATGTCTGTTGGCGTCAGCTATTTCGTATCGGTTACTGCTTGCAATAAAGTAAATCTTTACATTAAAAGACACAGCTCCTGTCGTGATATATATTTCAAGTATCCATCAAGTTCATTCAAATTCGTTGCAAATAATTTCAGATCCTTTCTTTATTAAAGTCTTTTGGGAATATCGTGACAATGAGAGTCCAATCACAAGAACAATGCTATCCATACAGAGCAACATTGATTCCTATATCTCTGTTGAAGATACAATCATTTCAAATGAAGGAGAATATTCAATTCATTTATCACAGAAAAATTTGCTGCGGCAAGGGGATATATATACCGTTAAAATAACGTCATGCAACGCGGCATCAATATGCATAACAACAATGAGTAATGAGTTTTTAGTTGACACAACACCACCACAAATAGGTGGATTTAGATCACCAATGGAATATGTAATAGAAAAAGATACTGAGACACTCAATTTAAATCTCTGCTGGTATGGATTTGTTGACGTAGAGTCGGACATAATGTCATATTATGTTACAGTTGGTCATACTTATAGCGAATCACAACTTGTAGACAGCTACAAAATTACACCAAATACAACCAACGCGTTACAACAAGAACAGATAATTACAAACATATCAAGTTCAATGCCGGAGAATCTAGTTTTAACTATATGGGCAGAGAATAATGCTGAACTATTGACTGCCGAAGCTAAGGTAACTGTGGATATTCTTGCTGTTACTAGTGATCGTAAGGAAAGCTCCTTATTCAAAATTATTCGTGTCGGACATATTTCTGTGAAGATGGCTGCAGGTGCGACTGTACGTGTGGTGTCCATGGGAGAAAATGTATAGGTGAAAACAATGTTTGCACAAATGATTCACGTCAGATCTCACCCAATATGTCTGTTGATGTTTTTTCTCGTCAGATCTCACCCAATGTGTCTGTTGATGTTTTTTCTCGTCAGATCTCACCCAATGTGTCTGTTGATGTTTTTTCTCGTCAGATCTCACCCAATGTGTCTGTTGATGTTTTTTCTCGTCAGATCTCACCCAATGTGTCTGTTGATGTTTTTTCTCGTCAGATCTCACCCAATGTGTCTGTTGATGTTTTTTCTCGTCAGATCTCACCCAATGTGTCTGTTGATGTTTATTCTCGTCAGATCTCACCCAATGTGTCTGTTGATGTTTTTTCTCGTCAGATCTCACCCAATGTGTCTCGTCAGATCTCACCCAATGTGTCTGTTGTTTTTATGAAAACAGACACCGATAAGCATGATGTTATTGGCTCCTCTAAATGCCTTGGTGCTTTTTGGAAGTTTAATTTTACCGGAAATATTATAAGGTTTGAATATAGTTTTGGAATAAAGGATGCAAAGATCGGACATGGAGTATATAATTTAAGCTATGGAAATATTTGGAATGATGTTGGAAAGAAAAACAAATCGTTCCATTGTATGTCAGTAAAACAATTTGAACACAATTCACAATATGTTGCATACGTAAGAGCTTGGACATCGTTGTATGAATACGCAATACTCCAATAGCCATCTGTAATTGTTGATCATACACCACCCAGTATTAGCAAAACACATGTTGCATTGGACTCCTTTCAGGCGTGCGACAATGATGTAGATTATGTGACACTAGATGAGACTGTAACAGCATGTTGGCAGGGAGTGTTTTCTGATGATGAAAGCAGAATAGAAAAGTTTATGGTTTCACTTGGAACCTTGCCATCTGGTATGTGTTAACTAGATTTTACTTTTAATCGACTTAATTCGTTGTCAATGAAATTCCTATTAGTGTAAAGCAGTTTTTTCAATCTACCAGTAATTGAAATCAATTTCAATCTTACTATCTCTCTTTTGTATGACCTTAACTTCACAAAATAAATGAAATCTGTTTTTGCTTAGCTATGAAATGATTTTAAATTTGGTTTGTCATATATCTGTTTTTTAGTTATGATGAGACTTACCTGGTTTTAGTTTATGCTCATGCTTATACAGTAATATAAAGGCAAATACGCAAGATTATACAGAGAAATATTACTTCAAAAAGAGATCATGATAATGAATGTCTTATCTATACAATTACTAGTTTATCTCAAATATTTTTTACATTCCTTTTTAGTGGATGACATTGTACAAATGAAAGAAGTCGGTCAATCAACATATACTAAATGGGAAAATGTTAAATTAGAACAAGGAACTAGATATTATGCAACAGTTCGTGCTATTAACTACATAGGACTTCAATCAGAGGTTAGTTCAGATGGTTTTATTATTGATACCATTCCGCCACCGACTGGAATAGTTTACAATACCAAACATCAAAGTGACGTCATTTACCAGACGGAAAATGAGCCGATACAATTTTCATGGCATGGTTTTGATGATCAGCATTCGTTTATAGATTCGTATTTTGTAGCATTTGAAATCAGCAATACAAATGGGAATGAAAATTCCTCAAAAGACTTTTCAAATGTCGGGATGGCAAACAGTGTCTTATTTAGAGAAATCCCCAAACACAATGACATAATTACAGCATATATAAAAGCAAGAGACAAAGCTGGTCATGACAGCAAAGTTGCAATGTCAAAACCCTTGCAAATCGATGCAACACCTCCAGTCTCTTTTACTTGTAATAATATCAGTTATGTTAAACATCAGATTATAACAGCTAGCACAAATGAATACCTTTGGTGTGCGACTGTCAATGGTATTTTTCTCGATGTATACCAAATTAAAGTGCAAATAAATCATCCACGGATCGATTTCCATGAATATCTAATGATACATGAAATGTCGATACTTTTACCATTTGCCCTCAATGCCGATAATTCACTGATCACTGAATACACATACATATTCCAAGAAAATAGGAGAACAAATACTTCAGTATGTATATATAGCGTGGAACCAAATACAACCTTGGAAATCACGATGTCTCAATGTTCAAGTATCAAATATGTGGACAACAGGACTGAGATTATATTAGCCCAGCAAATATATCCCAAAATGCAATTTCAATTTGGGTTCAAACAATAGATATCGAAAGTGGTATTAAACAAATTTCTGTTGGAGTTGGAAGCATAGTTGATGGACTAGAAATTAAAAGTTTATATCCAATTCAATCGCATTTACACGAGGTGGTACAAGCGAATTTTAGTCACAAAATGAAACTTTATATTAAAGCAGAGGCTGAAAATCACGCCGGCTTAAAAACGATATATACTTCCCGACCTTTCATTTTTGACAAAACTCCTCCACTCATCAGAGAACAAAGTACAACCCTGGAGTATCTTTTTGCTAATAATGAAATATTCGTCATATTAAAGTCCATGTGGGAAGTTACAGATGAAGAGAGCGAAATATTGTTTTGTGAATGTTGCATTGGTAAGTTTTTGTAAATGGGCAAAAGTCAGAATCGTAATATTTAAAGAAGAAAAATTTCATTTGAGTATTAAATTGAAATGCCAAACGAACTTGAGTTGCAATCAAACATCTTAAAATTGTCCAGTTTTATCAAAGTATGAAATATAAACACGAAAGAGATCGTATTTGTATAATATGTATACATAAATTATGTACAACTTTTGGAACGATCGGTCAAAGCAACTCAAGTTAACAATCATAGCAATTAGTTTATCGCTTCTAGCAACTACAGTCATTATGTGAAGAGATGTTTGTGTTTTATTTAACGATGGCTTACGAATGACTCCGTAGCAGAAAATGTAAAAATAGTAAAAAAAGAAAAGAGTGTATTAATAAAACATGACATGGTGTTAAGACAAGAAATCGGTAACGACAAAGCTGATTCTTCAAAGGTCTATGACATCATTATTCTAATACAAGGTTTGATATTTTTTTGGAACAATTTTTAATTCTAAATGGAAACGATTACGTGATAATGTTTGAATCAGTGACGAATATATGTTTAGTCTTTTAAATAATTTAATTGCAGTTGTCTTTTATGACATGGAAGTCATCCGATATGTTTCATAACACCGGTCCTCCGACAATGTATTTAGTTATCCCCATGCTCATAACACCGGTCCTCCAACAATGTATTTAGTTATCCCCCATGCTCATAACACCGGTCCTCCAACAATGTATTTAGTTATTCCCCATGCTCATAACACCGGTCCTCCAACAATGTATTTAGTTGTCCTCCATGCTCATAACACCGGTCCTCCATCAATGTATTTAGTTATCCCCAATGCTCATAACACCGGTCCTCCAACAATGTATTTAGTTATCCCCATGCTCATAACACCGGTCCTCTAACAATGTATTTAGTTATCCCCTATGCTCATAACAAACCTGAATAACAATGATGAAATAAGATAATTTAGCTAATATATTCAATTTAAAGGTGACCTAACCTATCCTTATTCGAGTACCTAACCAAATCCATTTTAATTTCGAACGTTATTTCCAGATTTTATGGTAACTAAGTAAATTGAATTTAAATTACTTGCTTATTATACTTTAGCTTATTCATTATCTGTCAATGTGACTCCAAATTATTTTAAACATAGACATTCGGTTTCCTTCTTTTTTTTTCTTTATAGGAAATCATTTGAAAAAAGACTTATATCTCCCCCTAGATTTGATTTTTTGTCCGGATTTAGCAATACCTTTTGACATTTTCGATCAGCACTTCAGCAATTCTTTTATGTATTGGATTTTTAAATATTTTGCCTTGATCATCACTGAACAGACATTAATTGTCAGAATGAGCATGTGGTGTAGTTAATTTTGCACAGTTTGATATAATTTCCAAATAAGAATTGAAAATTCACCAAACCTCCTTCTCAATTTAATGCTTTTCACATATTAGTGTTAATATTACTCTATAAGGCAAGAACCAAACAAGTGAATAGAGTTTAAGTTCAAAAAATTCACAGATGACGGACAGATGAATAGCTTCAATATTCTCGTCGAATAATCGCTGACGTTCTGTGCAAATACATAATTATTGACAAAGTGTCTTATTTCTCTGTAACTTCTGTCACTAACTTTAGATTAATCTATTTATAGGTAATGGAAACGATTACGTGATAATGTTTGAATCAGTGACGAATATATGTTTAGTCTTTTAAATAATTTAATTGCAGTTGTCTTTTATGACATGGAAGTCATCCGATATGTTTCATAACACCGGTCCTCCGACAATGTATTTAGTTATCCCCATGCTCATAACACCGGTCCTCCAACAATGTATTTAGTTATCCCCCATGCTCATAACACCGGTCCTCCAACAATGTATTTAGTTATTCCCCATGCTCATAACACCGGTCCTCCAACAATGTATTTAGTTGTCCTCCATGCTCATAACACCGGTCCTCCATCAATGTATTTAGTTATCCCCAATGCTCATAACACCGGTCCTCCAACAATGTATTTAGTTATCCCCATGCTCATAACACCGGTCCTCTAACAATGTATTTAGTTATCCCCTATGCTCATAACAAACCTGAATAACAATGATGAAATAAGATAATTTAGCTAATATATTCAATTTAAAGGTGACCTAACCTATCCTTATTCGAGTACCTAACCAAATCCATTTTAATTTCGAACGTTATTTCCAGATTTTATGGTAACTAAGTAAATTGAATTTAAATTACTTGCTTATTATACTTTAGCTTATTCATTATCTGTCAATGTGACTCCAAATTATTTTAAACATAGACATTCGGTTTCCTTCTTTTTTTTTCTTTATAGGAAATCATTTGAAAAAAGACTTATATCTCCCCCTAGATTTGATTTTTTGTCCGGATTTAGCAATACCTTTTGACATTTTCGATCAGCACTTCAGCAATTCTTTTATGTATTGGATTTTTAAATATTTTGCCTTGATCATCACTGAACAGACATTAATTGTCAGAATGAGCATGTGGTGTAGTTAATTTTGCACAGTTTGATATAATTTCCAAATAAGAATTGAAAATTCACCAAACCTCCTTCTCAATTTAATGCTTTTCACATATTAGTGTTAATATTACTCTATAAGGCAAGAACCAAACAAGTGAATAGAGTTTAAGTTCAAAAAATTCACAGATGACGGACAGATGAATAGCTTCAATATTCTCGTCGAATAATCGCTGACGTTCTGTGCAAATACATAATTATTGACAAAGTGTCTTATTTCTCTGTAACTTCTGTCACTAACTTTAGATTAATCTATTTATAGGTGTGTCGGCCACGTCATGCGATATTGCAAAAATTGATCGTGCTTTAAATCTAAAATCATTTAAAACAAAACCGTTTGCTGCAAAACATGGTAGTAGGATATATATTACTGTCCAGTGTATCAATAAGGTACAATCATTTTGGGCCATTCATTGTTTCCTACTTGCCACCAGATAGTGCTACCTCTGAGATACACTTTATAACAGATAGAAGTGCTAACTCTATTGTACAACGAGATGTTCGCTCTATCACTTTTTGTTGGGACAATTTCGAAGACTATTGGGATAAGATAACTTACAGCGTTCAAGTTACGGATATTTCCTCTGAGCTTTTTGAATGGACAGTCGTTCCAAACAAAAACTATCTTCGAATTTTCGATATGGATATGAAGAATAATGGAAACTACACTGTATTTGTTAAAGGAAGATACATTGGCGGAATGGAAAGTAACTTGATTAGCAACACAATAACAATCGACAAAAAGAGACCAGCCCTGAAAGGTAAGATAGTAAAGACTGCCCAAACTCGAACAAGTTAGAATAAAGGATACTTTGGTAAAATCATCATGGAAAGCAGGATTAAAGTTGTGTACATCAAACGCGCGTTTCGTCTATTAAGACTCATCAGTGGCGCTCGATTCAACCAAGTTAAAAGGACTGAGAACCCAAAAGTCCGAAAGGTTTTGCCAAATACAGCTCAGGTAATCTATTTCTGGGGTAGAAAATGGTACATAACGTCAATGAGACAGCAATTAACAAAACAAAAAATCGAAAGAAATTAAGAGGTCACCATAAGGTTTTCAACTATAGACAGTTGTCTTTACAATTTGTTAAATTCTAAATCGGACTGAGTCTAAAAAAGCTGCGAAAAGATTTAAGAGACCCGCAACTTCTCACACTCGAAGTGAGCATGCTACAATGGGATCATAACAGCTGACGAAATTCCTGGCAATGAGATTGTGTCAGCTATGTAGAGGATATCCTCTTTCCAATCCCTTATAGGCTGGTGCGTAAAATGAACAATATGAATATATACTAAGATTTTAATTGATTTCTCTATTAATAAGTCAAAACTTATGATCAAAATGGTCGTAATAGACTAAATTTCATTACTAGTGTTAGTAAAGTATGCAGTCTATCAATTAACACTAGGTAAGCACTGCATACTGCGGCTTCTAAGCAAGAAAAAAAAACAAATCATTCTTGATTAAATGTTGTCTCGTCAAGTTACTTTTTTTAAATGTGAAATATGTGATTATAATAATTATGATGAAACTTATGCACTGTGAACTGCTTTATTCATTGTTAGTATAATTAATTAAGGTAATCACTTGTAAATTGAACATCTAAGCGACAATGATTACAACGTGAAATGGACAAATACGTTTACTGATGTGCACCCTTTAGAATTGTACGAGGTATTCATTGGATCTATCGCAGGAAGCAGTGACATACTAATGTCAACTGTGACAAAAGCAACTACCATTAGGGTTTATATACCCGAAGACATAAAGGAGCTTTTTATTGGAATAACTGGAACTTCCAAGACTGGAATTTTAGAAACATACAGAAAAACTATCATTCTCCATTGATTGTTATTCAAAACTGATTTGTCATAAACAGAACTCCGTCCGATTTTGTGGCTATTTATTTTTCAATATATTTTATAAAATAAAGGTTATGTATTATAAAAGGCTTGATAGAAGTAGACAGAACGTAAAATTTATTTACAGGCTGCCTCTATCTTAATATATTGAGTTTCTTTGGAGGTAGAAAAAAAAATAAATAAGCATTACTTTCTTTGCGTAACATAACTCATATATGCTATATACAAAGGAAATTAAATTATCACAAACACTCTATCAAACATTGTTTATATCTAATCAAAATATGAAATGG